AGAGAGAGAGAGAGAGAGAGAGAGAGAGAGAGAGAGACAGACAGACAGACAGACAGACAGATAGATAGATAGATAGATAGATAGATAGAGTCAATTTGTCCAAGTAATTTTTGCCTCAAACTTTTTGTGAAATTGCTTGTGCTGTCTTTAAAATAAACGAAACTTGATTTGATATTTGTTATGAATGCAAAACCATTCATTCATTTTTAAAGGTGTAGCCTAAGCTCTAAACATACATTCGGTCAATTAAGTCACTGCATTCCACGGTACAGCACGATTCCCTTACTAAATTCGACATTAAATTATATTATTATATGTTAATCCAAGGTACTAAAAACATGGTATTACCATCGTCGTAGTGTCCAAAAACGATGGTCTACTTTGTTAGTGGTCAGAGTAACGCCTCTAACAATGTGTTGAAAAGCGCCGCTTATATCTGTGACAGCATCAGGAAATGAGTGTTGACGCGCGCTCATTCATCTCGTCTCCTCGTGCTGACTCCAGCCAATGAGCGCGCAGAAACCCCTAGCCAGCCCGAGATATGACTCTGGATCTGATTCTGTGGGACAGATACTGTACCTCTCTCACTGGACCGGCCCGGACGCAATTAGGAACCGTGATAACTATTTTGACGACAATATTCAGATTCCTCCTGTTCTTCGACTTAAAGGAACTCCATTTGGATACTAATGAATATTAAATATTTTATATGGATGCTTCTGTTTTCATTCTGAGTAACTTTATCGATTCTAACGTGGAAAGATACACTAACGTTACTTGAATAATGAAAAAGAAATTATCTCACGATTTGATATGAACCTGTGACCGTTTATTTCCTCTTTTTTTTTTTTTGATTTGGAAACATTTACAAACGGACCGTGTTCAACATGCGAGAGTTTGATGGAGTTGGAAGCGGATCCGCGGCGCGCGAGGACAGATTTGTGTCACGCCGTGAACCGAGCGGCACCGCTCACAGGATTTACCTGCCCTTCATCTTACTGCTGCTCTTGTTTACTCCTAGCGTGGACTCGTCTTGGTGGTAGGTGTTTCTAAGTGTTTATTCAAAGTGGCACAAGAGTCACTCATTGGCACTGATTAATTTTAGACCTAAAATAAAACTAACAGAAAGTTCTTAATAACAAGTAGCCTATGCTCATTGAATTTATATCACAATCTGGGACCATAACAGTAGGCTAATTCATTACGATCATAACAACAATTCATTTACGAATGAAAAACACTAAAAAATATGAATTTCAGTTTAAGATCTCGTTTGAGTCTTGTTTGATCCTGGAATGGTTCCAAATTATGATGGAAATTCCTAGATCAGTAGGCCTATAAGGAAGCAGAATTAAAATGAATTGAAGTTCAGAGATATTCATTTGACTGTAAGGATTTAACTAGGAAAGTAAAGTTTGTCGAGACGAAACCATTGTAAAAAGCGTGTTTAAATTTGTATTTAGTTTATATAGTAGCCTACATCATATTTAATATATTCACTTTTGTATGGGTGGAAAAACACCTATTTTTCCATAATACAATAACACGGCTGAATTTCAGAAAGTTCCAACTTCTGTTAATCACTAGATATGATAGATATTTAAATATGTGATTCTGGTCATCTTTTTGTTTTGTTTTTAATCCACCTGGCGGAAAAATCACACGCTTGATCACCTAGAAAAGTAGGCTACAAAATATATAAGCATGTCTTTTTGAGAAGATTACAGTAGCGAAATAATGGATTTAAAGTTAAAAAATAATTTATTTTCAGCTAATATAAATATACGTTTGAGAGTCTAGATTGATATTAACATTATGGAAAAATATATAAAAGTATATAATATGCTTGTGGTGCAACATTTATATATATATATATATATATATATATAGAGTTATATATAGAATATTTATATATTAGAATTATAGAATGAGAATATATAATGTATAATAGAATATATAAGAATATATAATTTAGTTATATTATTATATTATTATTTAATTATATTATTTATTTTCAGTCAGTCCTCTTTAAATAGATTTTTTTTTTTCAGTCTAGACTAGTTTGGTTCATAGTCCAGAGCATGATAACAAAAGAGTGAGCAGTTAGTGATGTACAGTTGGTGATATATGAATGACACAAATAAAAAGTACTAAAATGGTAAATAAACAGCAAAAAGCTAAGTGTAATCACACCAAAAATAATGAAAAAGTCAGATAAAATTAGACAATCAGAAAGAAGAAAAGAAAAGAAAAAGCTCTAGATTGCAGGTGATGGCAGAAATGCATACAGAACTGTGTTTAATCACTTCTCAGGGCAGTTGTTAGTAAAGACAGAGGAGTCTAATGTCTTAAACTGACATTGATCAACACATTCCAGACTGTTCTATGACAGGGCTTGGCTGCATCAGCAGACCTACTTGTATGCTGAACACACCAGATAAACACACTTGCTAGGGTTATATAGATTTGAAGTGATTTAGTTCTGAAGTTATTGCTTTTCATCTCCATTTCTTCACTGTATAACACCAGACATGATGACACAATGGCAGACTTCGCCTTTAAAAACGTCTCTAATTGCAGCATTCATAAGTTCCCCATCACGTCTCAGAGGTAGCAATATCAACATCAGCGCACTGCCTAGTGCCCCACAGCTGAGTAAACAACATAATCTCACTCCATGCTATTTTTTGATATTTTCAATTAAAATGAATGCTCGGTTTCTCTCACGATAGACAATAATACTGTATTTCATGAATAGGAAAAGAAGGGTTATCGTTTGTATCATCTATATTGAAATAACTATACGTACGGCCCCCTGTGCCCTCCATAAGGCAGCCGGGATTCAACGTGTGAGTCTGCAAGACAGCCATGGCAGCATGCCCAAAACTGTGTGAGCCAGTTGTGATAAATATCTCTCAGTTTCTACGGTAATTTATACAGTTATGGGGATTGTTGTCATCATTGCAATCAATTCACGCGTAGCGGTTTTCTGGCTCACGTGCAGCAGCCTTTCCCAATCCCAGCCGCATACAGCTGATAAGTGTTCTGGAACAGAGAGGGAGAGCGAGATTGTGTTTCTGTGTGTCAAGGATCAACAGGGCAGCCGTGCAAAGCCGACAACAGCAGGCCCTCCCATGGATGCTATAGCGAGAGGAATAAGTCTTTCGTTGGGCCGTATGTTTGCACTAGTATGTCAGTGTGTGTGTGTGTGAGCGCGAGAGCGATAGGGACAACCATAAGAGGAGTGGAAATTGTTCAGTAGTTTGTACGGAGTGTTGTCGCACAAACCCAGACACGACTGACTGGATAATGAGATCCGGGAAAGAGACAAGGGCGCGTGAGCACAGCGTAAACCTCGCCGAGGGTGTCTGTGTGTGCACTTGAACAGAAAGAGTCCACCAGGTATTTGTCAGACTGTTTAGCAGCAATAGCAGGAAACCTGCAACATAATGACAAATATCAATGCAAGATTTGTATGAATTTGATTGATGTCTGTGTGTTTTGTATAGCTTTGTGTTTTATTGCTTTCCTTTTATGATGTACGGTGTCATTGAGTGTTTTGAAAGGCGCTTAAAAATGAAAGGTATTATTATTAAGATTGTTAGTTCTTGCTGCACTCTTGTAGACATTTGTCAACAGAGAACCGTGGGATATGGGACAAATTGGGATATATCTAATTGAGGGAGTATGAAATAGTCCTTAAAAGGTTAATTTGTCTAAAAATAAAAAATTATGTAATCATTTACTCGCCTTCATGTTGTTACAAACCTGTATGACTTTTTATTCATTTCTGGAACATAAAAGCAAAATTGGACCCCACTGACCTTCACTGCATGGAGAAAAAAAACACTGAGACATTTTTCTAAATATCTTCTTTTGTGTTCCACAGCAGAAAGAAAGTCTTGAACAACATGAGTTTGTGATGACAGAATTTTCCAATGCAATATCATGGCAATTCGCAACTGTTTTATGTTTTGGCGAATTGGTATACGACATGAATCCATACAATCTTATTCATGTTTTCGCTCCACTGACAGTTTAATGAAATGGGTTTGGGGTGGGCCTTTTTCTAAAAATCGTACACTTCTGTACGAATCACATCATGCAAATTCATATGAAATGGCCACCTCGTAAAATTTGTACGTTTTCTCATGAGACTCGGTTGAAAGTTTCATTTTTGGGTGAACAATGTATTTAAGAACCTGTGAACAGAAATTTTCAAGTTTTTGCAGAGACAGTAAAGTATCATAGGAGTCTCATTATTGCAATATATCTTAATTAAATAAAGGGACATGAAATATTTAAGATGAAATTATTTTATCATCTGCGAAGAAACAGACTGAGATATGTAAGTAGCACAGCTATTGGAAATCAGCTGGGTGGGAAAACGGGCAATTATTCAGTTTAGTGGTCACTGGACACTATGCAAAAATATTTGACCACAGAATGATTGACCTGCCAGAATCAAACATTCCATAAAGCCGTGTATTAAAGTGTGGCTAACATGAACTTTGAAGTTTCAATCTCAAATACAGATAACCCAGAAGAGCAGGCTAACTAAAACAATCCTACCCAACTATAAAGTCAGTTTCACGCGTTACTGATTTAATAATTATGCATTAAATTGATTTATAATCACAAGACATTGGCCAACTACTGCAATAGTAATGGACATTTATACATTAGATTTATTCATTTAGCAGACGCTATAGTCAACGAATGTGACTCTGTTTGTTTCTGCAGGTACATTGGTGCGTTAGAAAAAATAATATGAAATATAAAACAATAATATTAAAATACTTGATATAATAAAAATATATTATTTAAATTGTAAAATATTTATTGCAGGGAATCCAAGGCGAACCACCATAGAACTAAAACAATGGAAAAACCCTTAAGATAACATGTAGAAAGGAAAAACGCATCTTAAGCACAAAGAATAACATAAGTGGACTTTGAACGATTAATTGCCGCTTTGAACGATTACGTAATTGTGGCATCCATAATTGTAATCGCGATTAGAAATTCGATTAATTGTGCAGCCCTAATAAAAAATAATGGAAATTACACACATACACACAAAAAAAAACTTAAAATAATTAGAATTTGGTCCAAAAATGTCCTAAAATTCTGTAACCTGGATATGTTTTCATGAGATTCACCCATGCATATTTGCCCACAAGGCGTACAGTAAATAGTGCGACGTTACCACTTTACATGATACAAGAACAAAATCTGCGTAAAGCATGAAGTCAAGACAAGACAATGTTGGATAGAGGTGGGGAAAGTGCACGGGTCATATGTGACAACATTCCAGGGCTGGTGAACAAGCAGAGGCAGCTCTGCCAAAGACACCCGGATCTCATGCAATCCATCGGAGAGGGAGCCAAAGAGTGGATCCGAGAATGCCAGCACCAGTTCCGACACCATCGTTGGAACTGCAGGACGCTGGAGAGAGACCATACTGTGTTCGGCCGTGTCATGTTGCGCAGTCAGTGTTTGTGTTACACTTTATTCCTAACAATGGCTGAGATCAAAATCATACAGTAATAACATGACGTGCATGAACTATGCAACCTTGTATCATGTATAAAAGCATCATATTCCATAAAGTATCAAGCTGTGTGCAGAGGTGAATAAGAATAAGAAAGCATATTCTGAATAAGGAAAAAGACAGTTTTAGGACAGCATTTTGACAAATTTTTTATCAAATATAAAATATTCATCAAATATGTAATTATTGTTATGCAAAACACCTAATTACAATAGAA